TAGACATTCTCGCCAATGTAGACATCTCTAGCGACTTCAAGACTGCAGCTTGTTTTCGATGCTTCTGTGTCAGTTGGCGCCTCCAAAGTCGTGATGATAACACACGCGCCAATCCTGGTGTTTCTTCCAATGCTTATTTTGGCTGAATCGAGTAATCGAGAACTACGCCCGATGATAACATTGTCGCCAATGGATACGTTGTAGCCGTAATCGCAGTGAAACGGTGTGACAACGTGTGCGTTGCTGCCGAGCCGACCGCTGCCCGGACTGTCTCCGCAATGGGGCCGGGTGCAAGCTGCATCTATAGCTGCCCTGAAATATCGCTCGCGCATATCCTGCACAAACCCAGGCATCACATCGAGGGTCTTGTTGAAGTGATATAGCATAGCTGCGCACTGCCTTCGATCATCAACTAACTGAGTATCATAGGGCATGAAAGGCTCTCCATCTAACATCTTCTGCTTCTCAGTCTTAGGAAGACTCGCTGCTTGCTTATGGTAACATAGCGATGGCTTCGACAGTGCAATATCCGTCATAGCTGGTAAAGATAATCGCGACGACTGTGTTCTCTGGCAGTATGGATCAGGCGCTGACGCAGAAGGAATGGCTGTGCTAAGACCCATATTGTGCGGTGGTTGGTCATATCCGCGTGCCTTGTGGTACACCAGAGCTGGAATTTGGATCGGGTGTATCGCTCGACGGTCTTCGTTAGACACGTCTCTCTCGTGAACATGCACAGGCAAAGGCGGATATGGAGGACGATAAGGATATGACTGCTCTCTTGGTCGCGATGCGCGAGAAAGATCATGCCTGTCCGTTTCCCTGCCTGGTGCAGGCAGTTGATACTCGCGTTCTTCGACAGTAACACCACCGTTAGTGTCTGCACGCTGAACGGGAGCGTGGGGTTCTTGGTAGATGCTGTGGTCACTACCAAGGCTAGGTTCGTTGTTGAGTATGTCTGCCAGCTTGCAGCGGCGTGGTTTACTTTGGGGCTGATGTGTATCTACGGGCTTTGGCGCTTGATCTGATAACGAAGGCAGAGATGTTGAGCTTCCGTTCTTTTGCAGTGTCATCTTGTCCATGTAGCCTTGGCAGGTGATGCCGATACGAGTGCAGTTGTTACATTCAGGCTTTGCTTCGTCACACTTCTTCTTGCGCCTTCTGCACATTCCACACCCAGTCTTGACACGCTTCATGAATGGTTTGTTCCTCCTTGGTCCGACGTGGGTAGCACCATCCATCGGCTTTGTTGCTACTGCTCGATCTACGCTGCTCCGATCTGTCCTACGCATAGGGATGTGTGGCTCAGAAGCGAGTGTTGCGTTACTGTAAGTTGGCTTCACTGGGCAAGCATCGCGGTGCTGTGATGACTGGATGTCGCACTGAGATAGTTCGTGGGACGGGGTAGTCGATCGCTGAGTATACCTGCCATCATCTACCAGGGGCTGTATGTGCTGTGGTGCAAGTTTCATGTCATGCAACCTCTTCTGGTTGATCGGTGAACCACTACAGCTCGCAGTCACAGAAGGCTCTCGCAATGGCCGTGGAACCACAGCTAGTTCATCCGAAAACGGGTTTACCCTTTCAAGGGTTGATCGCGATTCCTTACTAGGGCTTGTTGGATATGTGCCTACGCTCTCGATTACGGGTGAGGCGAAGCGGCTGACAGTGCGGCAGCCGTCCTCATATCGCCTGGGCGCAGAGTTCTGGTCCACTTCCCCACAACTCGGTGGCTTTGGGCTTAACGAAACATGGGCGACAGAATCAGTCTGCTTTCTATCAGTAGTGTCCATACTGTTTGCCACACGGACCTGCTCTTCCCATTCACGTACTACTTCAGGTTCTCTGACGCTCCAGTTCAAAGTCGTCGGGTCCCGAAGATCTCCAATGTCAGCCTTCAAAGGCTCATTATGCTCAGAAGTATGGCGCGCGCAGACTGTTAGAACCGCTGCAGGCAGTGGGCACGTTTTGGCATTTCTGCTCCCAGCTAGAACATTGACATCCTGCTTGACAAATGCCTGCCCAGCTGTGGGTTTTGTGTCTTGTCTCAACCCTAGCTGAGTAAATAACCCTGAGGGTGCAATCGGTGCACGATGTGTTGCTGCAATAGGCACAGTACATGCACGCGTTCTACGATGCTGCACGACGGATCCGCTCTGTTTTGCAGATAGTGACATCGACCGCTCGGATCGTGCTAAAAATCCCGAGGGCTCATCGCTCACGTCGGGTTCAGCTGTGGCATGTTGTATCGCGGTCCTTTCATGAATCCAGCCATCTTTGGAGAGTCGCCCCGGTGTCCGTTCTGAACTCACCGATGCCAGATGTAGCTCCTCGACTGAGCCACCCGGGAGGGAAAGAGGTGTGGCTTTTTCGAGGGTGTGATCGCTCGACCTCTTCGTAGAAGACATCGCTTTGCTTGCTGCTTGCAGCTCGGGCTCTCTGTGAACCGCCTCATCAGCGGGCGCGGAAGGCATGGCCTCCAGAATCTCCAGCTTGCCCGGCATCTCTTGCTGTTCTCGTGTCTCCGAGACTTTCCTGGTTGTGAGCAACGCAGACAGCGGTGAATCCTTTTCCTCAAGCGTATAAGCATGGGCTCTTTGTGATTCTCGGCTAGCCAGCTCCCACGGCTCTAGTCCTTTCTGACGTGAGTTTTCCGGAGTCTCGTGTTCCTGGCATCCTACGTCCTGGAGCTTCGCTACAACATCAGGGTGCGACGATAGTTGCACGTGGCCGACACTGCCAACCTCCTCGATGCGAGGTGAGGACTGAGCATGTAAACTGTGTCGCGAACGTAGCGCGGCCGGTTCAGTAGCGCCCAGATGCTGTGGACACATGGTCAGCAAGATATGCTAGCGTTTTTGGAAGGAGATCAGATCACCTCATCTGTATGGCCAGAGTTGTCCGCAATGGCTGGATCTCGTTGGTTCCAGCCCGGTGTTTCTTCTAGTGTAGTCATCTTACTGATTGTCAGACTAGCGTTGTTCTGCCTGGGGGATGTAGCACCGCATTTGTACGAGGTTCCACTTTTCGAGACACACGCAGTTTGCTCTGGATCTTGGAAGAGCGAAGTGAGACTGCGCTGTGGTTGG